TATAAAAACCTTGTCCTTCATTTCTGTTTGGTTCATTGTATGACTCTATTCTATTTCTGCTTGTACCTACTGTTCTATTCTCATTTAGGTACTCCTTAAATTTATTGTCAATCATTTGCGATATCTGACCTAATATCTTACTTTCAGGGTTCTGTTGCTCGCTTTCAATCAAGGCCTGTAGAGTTTGAATGTTATGAGCGTCAATAGTCTTTAGGTTTTACAAGAAATGCTTCATAGTCACTTGCAGAGCGATGGCTTGACTGAGCGTCTGGTGGTGGTGAAATTGAACATGTTTCTTCAGTTCATGATTATTCAATCCTTGTATATACTGATCAACAACCGTAGTTTCAATTTCATGATAGCGTATAGTGGGATAAGCCTGTTGTGCAAGTCTGCGTAAACCGTATCCGTATTCGGCTACCGTTTCATCTTTTTGCCGTCTTCGATTTCTAAATTCGCACCGATAGGCAACTTTACCTTCTCTTGGATTAAACCGCTGTGACAAAACGTTTTTAGTGCATTGCAGTCTGATAGTTGACCGAGTGTAAGATCACTCAAGATTTTCTGAGCATAGCCGCGTAGAAACATCGTAAGCTGTTGTGCCTTTTCCCGATCGGTCCGTTGATTCCAAGACGCCACTTGCTCAAAATGTATTATATAATCATCCCACTCGGAACATTTGCCGTCAAATGAATCGGGCTCTTTCCGTTTGAGCCTATTATTACCCAGCAAAATAGGGTTAGTTCTGTAATAATCATGAACTGATCTTTCAAAAGTAGGAATAGGACCATAACCTTCATGAGGTAGACTTCCATGCTCCATATAACCAATAGGTCCAACTGGCCTTTGGGGTACATACAATAATCCCGGAACAGAGTTTGATAGTGACATGGATGGCCTTTCAGGTTGTTGGCTTGACAACCTGTAATAACCTTTTGGTTCTACAATATGTGGGCGTAATGTGTCATATTGAGGTGGCACATGCATTGGCCTTCATAGAGAGGTCTCTGCATGTCAACTTTTTGGACAGGGAGTTTAGTATCTCAGTACACACTAGCATATTCATACCCTTTTTGTCTAACATCATTAGGGGCTTGTTATTTTATGATCTATCGCCATGAACTTCTTCCAAGCATGAGAAATGACATATGGTCTTAACTTCTTCCCCGCCTTTTATTGGTATCGCCAATTATTTATAATGCAATTAAGTCAACAATGATGATTAGACTGAAAAATAATTTTATGATTACATAGTAACACGTACATTAAGAGAACAAGCTTTTTGAAAAAAAGTTTTCAATATATAAAGGCTGTTTAGTTGTGAACATATTCCATTGTGGTATGTGTCTGGTTAAAAGTAGTAAATACATTTAAGTTAGTACTTTTTATTGTTTATTCATCTAATGAATTCAATGGGCTTCTTATCGATTGGTCGGCTGAGTCGGACAGAAGAAAGACTCAATGTATGCAGCTCTCGTAAAAGTAGTAGAAATCATTTCATACTTGTCTCCAGTGATAAAATATTTTAAACAAAATAAATAATTCAAAATTTGATGACAATGTTAAACGCATCTATCCCAGCGAACTTGAGATAAAGGATACAACAGATATCGTTATGTTTGCCTCATATCTTGACTTACATCTAGAAATTGACAATGAGGGTCGGTTGAAAATAAAACTTTACGACAAAAGAGATGATTTCAGCTTCCCAATTGAGAACTTTCCATTTCAATGTAGCAGCATTCCAGCAGCGCCTACATACGGAGTATATGTCTCCCTTTTTGATACGATATTCTAGGGCTTGTGTTTCTCATCATCATTTCCTTGATAGAGGGTTGCTGCTCACAAGGAAGCTATTTAACCATGAGTTCCAAGTGGTGAAGTTGAAATCATTCCTTCGTAAATTTTACGGACGCCATCACGAGTTGGTTGACCGTTATGGAATATCCGTATCACCGATGATAGCGGATATATTCCAAATGTCGTAACTACAATCTCGTCCCCTTTTCCCCGAATGTGACCTACCGATTTAGACTTATCACCGGGTTTGTACTAACATGAGCAACACGACGGGTGTCACATGTGGAGCAGGATCTGCTTACCCTTCCGGAGCACCTGAGATCACCTTAGTTTTTGGTGGGGTTTGTTTTGCTCAGTCTTTAGTTTTCTATGTTGTGTTTTGTGTACTAATGTTGGTCTGTTTGTCTTTTTCTTTTTTCGTCATGGCGTTGTCATTTTTTTTTCGAATTATGAGTTTGAATGTCCCTTTGATATATTTCGCTTTCTTTTAAACAGAATCTTGTTTGATGCAGTTACACTATCTTCTAATGTGTGTTTCTATAGAAAAAAAAAATGAAAAGGAAATCGTGTTTTTTTTTCATAACCCTAATAACAAATGTAGAAATGTGTAACGATGACAGAAAGAATAATTCCTCCTGCATGGTACTGATAATTAAGAATATACCTAATATATAAAATTTTCGAACTTCTCGGGTTTTTTCATAGCCCCAATATTTAATAGAGAAATGTACAACGATGACAGAAAGAATAGTTCCTCGTGCAATTTACTGCAAATTCCTACTTGCAAGTATGAAAAGAAATTTATCAGTATAAAGGCGATTTTTTTCTATAATATTTACTTTCATGCAACACTGAAAACAGCATGAAATTTTCATCCTTTTGTGTTTGAAAAAATGAAGGGGTAACATTAGTTCAATGTATAAAGTCTATGCAAAATATAGAAATAGACAAAACATTCCTTTTACAGTCGACTATGCGGTATTGGTTTGTTGTCATTGTTGAAGGCCGTACGGTTGCCTATAATTGCCTACATCCACTTTATTTTTAACTACGGTGGATAGTTGTTTCATTGGCAAACATACCTCATCTCCTTATTTTTATAATGTTTGTGAACTCTAAGATACAAAATACACTTGAAAGTTTAAGCTATCATTTATGAATTATTTCCCTGTTGGAAAACCCTTTAACAAATCAAGATTTATATCTTATTTTTATCATTTTCATCCTGTTTCGTCCGCAAATAATCTAAAACTATATGTAGAAATTCACCAAAAATCAAGAATACGTTACCTAGAATTTTTATCTGCACAACTTTATAGTAGGTCTTTTTTTGTATAAAATATGTGGTTGTTGACAATTTATTGTATTTGTTACATTTACAACTGCATATCTTACCTGCTAAAATAAAATGACATAAAAACGCACGAAACATATTAAGGGAACAAATTGGAGCCAGACATACATTTTCAAAGTTCGGAAATGTACAATTTTTTCAAGATATACGCGTTTTACAGCCTGACTAACAATTACATGTCTCTAGGTGTCTTTTGATTTTTTTTGTATCGTGTGATTCAAACTTATATCATTGATACAAAATGTGAAAAGGGTAAAAATTTAAGGCGAATTTAATGATCTATGAACTTGTAACGATGCATTTTGTATACTTGTAAGTATACTATCATTTGTCAAACAACTCCAAATATGTTACAGTTGTGTGTGTTGATTCGCATCCACAATGTTACTGGACATGTAATTACAGTAGTCGGCAGTGGGTGTTGATAAATATTATACTTAGTACATATAGAATGCAGCACATCATATTCCAAACCCTCCTTAACCGCCTTGGTCTCGTGATAGCGTTGCTCGCTTCGAGTGCGAGAGGTTGTTGGCTAGAACCTCGGTTGGATCAAACCGAAGACTTGAACATTTGTATTTCCTGTTCTCCGCTAAGCACGCGGCATTTATGAGTAATAGAAAAGACTGGTCGGCTTGGAGTCAGAATAATATGTCTGGATAGGGTGACATGTCTTCATGTGGACTGTTACCTTGTGAACAAGCACGTTAAAAATCTGGCTCAGTGTGTCGGTCTAGTACAAAACAGTGTTTATATTTATATCATATTATCATGTTCTCGTTCAGAATATGCATTGGTTTGCCACTGGACCTTAAACAATCATCAATCCAAGCTCCATTTTATCACTTTTTAAATAACAATACACAAATTTCCGTCAATGAATTCCTGAAACAATTTGCTCTGTGATACTTTTAAAGTTTGGTCTCGCATCGACATTTTTACAGTTCAGAAACTTGCGATAAGCCGCATAGCGGTTAAAATCAAAACTAAAGTAATGTCATACAAATGGGATCACATAAAATGCACATGAAAATTCGCAGTTTCAGAATCTTTTGCATTCTGGTGAATATTTTCAAACGCGTACACCGAAACCATGAAAACGTTGTGATTGGTTTAGGCCGTACTAAACAATGGACATTTAACCAATGACATAACGTTATGTTCGTTTTGGTGAACGAACAATGAGATTACCCATAGTCCTTTAGATTTTAAAGAGGCAAATGTTAACCTGCACTTTTTCTTAGTAACCTGTGTCATCGGAGTTCATTATAATGTGAATTTGTCCTCAAAAATTATTTTGTTTTCTATTTTTTGGGTTAAAGATATTGAATTTGCAAACGTTATAAACTGAAAAAAACTAAAAGCTCAGAAAATTGCTGGAAATGCTATGTGTGAATATCCTAAAAATTCTTTACAATTTTTAACGAATAGTCAACTTTCAAAGGATATCTCTCGGTTTCAATTTTTGTCAATTGAAAAATGCAAGTAGAAAGTAAAATAACAAAAATACTGAACTCCGAGAAAAATTCTAAACGGAAAGTCACTAAACAAATGGCAAAATCAAACGTTCAAACACATCAAACGAATGGATAACAACTGTCATATTCCTGACTTGGAACAGACATTTTCTTATGTAGAAAATGGTGGATTAAACCTGGTTTTATATCTAGCTAAACCTCTCAGTAGGGGATTGCGTTCCTTCGGGCGCTCAGTAAATACGATTTTGTAGGTGATATGTACATGTGCACCATATTCTTCGCGTGTATAATAAACTTAACAGGGAGGATTTCTAGTTGCCCATTTACGAGTTTGTAGCAAATTTAAGAACATTTGCATAATCCCCAGCAATGAATGATAATACTTTATTTTAAAAGCAAATACAGCGTATAGGATACATACTCATAATAATAATAATTTTATATGCATCAATGATTAAAATTTTTACAAAATATTCTTGAATTACACAATATATAGATATAAAGGTGTACACGAAATAAAATAAAATACATAATACAAAATACGAAATACGAGCGGAGAATGATATACTTTAATAAAAACAATATGTGAGAACAAATATACTATAAACATGTGATTAAATTCTAAGTTTTTCTGCTGATTTTAAAAATATACCTAACTCATGTAATTCTTCAATATTTCTGACAGATAACAATTGGATAAGTGTGTATGCAGATGGATTTCTCCAATAATACTTTTTTATATACTTTTCTCGGATTTGACTATATTTTTGACATTCAATTATAAAATGATATTCATTTTCAATAGAGCAACTATTACAACTTGTACATAGTCATTATTTTTATCAACATTATCATAAATGCCTATGTCTATGCTTAAATTATGAGCTGATATACGATATTAACAAATATATGGTTTATATATATTTTTATAGGTCTATCTAAATAAAATTGCAAAGCATGTGTACTATACATATATCTATGAAAATGACATTTACTTGAATTCTCAAAAAAAAACGCAGTTACTTCATTAATGAATGCATCAAGCATTATTTCTTTCAATTGTAATAGAAAAATATCTTTACACACTACACTTTAGCCTAACCAAACATCATTAAATCCATATCTAAACAATCTCTAAACTTACAACACCAGTTTTGTTTATTCTTCTTTTTAATACAACTTCTTTCAAACATCTCATCACAGCAGTTCTTTAATATAAGATTTTCTGTACTCACATTTTTTAACCAATATTTGACTATTCTATATTGCCTTTCAATGGAAATAGGCAAACTACCGAATTCACAATAAATCATATTAGTGACAGCACTTATTTTGACTTTACGAACACGTTTTAAATAATACAAATGAACTTTTTCGGTATTTGGTGCCATATGAAATCCCCATTCTTTCGGGCAATAATTCAATATGCTTGCTACAAAAGTATCAAGTGACAACAAAGTTTCATGATTATACTAATCGTCATGTATTTTATCAAATAGGCTTAAACATCCTTTTTACCCCGTTCTGATAGTTTCTTTTGAAAACACATATATTATTTGTTGTTCTTCTGATTTGTTAGGATCGTGTTTTACATGTATTTTGAAGTTTATTTGGGGCTTACCTTAAAAAAAAATTTTGTTATCAGTGTTTGCATGATTGAGTCGCTGTGCGTTCAGTCTTTTTTTGTTATTGCTTTGAAAATTCTTAAAATGGAAAAACATAACATTCGATTTACAAGACAACTTGACATAGAGTTTGGAGAAAACGTCTTCTTGAGCTGTAATAAATCATCATAACTTTTACCAGCTTTCCGGATTTTTCTTAGTAGCTACAGATAGTAATCTATAAAAATTGAAATAGTTATCTTGTTGGTGTTATTTATTGTTTCTAAAATAACAATAAATCATATTGAAATTATTATGAGTATATGCAAAGACATTTTACATTGTTATGTGATTCCACAGCATTTCTAATTAGAGAAGCAAATCCACTCGTCATATGAATTATACAGAAAAGGGTAGAACAGGAAATACAAAAACTACCACACAATTGAAAAAAGCACACTATCCCCTTACATCAACTCCACCGAAAAAAAAAGACCTACAGACAAAGACAAACATATATTCCAAAGAATTCTTGGTACAGGCCCAAATTGGTGGGATTTAACCATTTTACGTGCGCAAAACTACCTCTTTTGACTATCTAGATGATAGGTCACAAAACTAAAACACTATAAAAGACATGCATAGTGCAGCTTCTAAAATGGTGAAAGATTAATTTTGCAAAAAGAAATAATGGACTTTGGAAGGGATGAGAGTACCGTTTTTAACTTAGCTGGAAATACCTCTAGTTTTGTATTTAATTTTTATGACCCCTTTGCAAACATTCAATTTTTTATTTATTAGCTTGCTCTAAATAATAGTTTGGATCATGCTCCAAACTTAACTGACGAGCGGACGAAAGCCTTTTTTGTGAGGAATGTTAAAAAGGGTGAGAAAATCAAATGGGGGGAATAAAAAACAAGAAAAACAAGAAAAACAAACCACACCATGGTCAAAAAGATTGAGAGAAAATGAATCCACAAAACACTACACAGAAAACTATGCGTAATTCTAACCTCACAGAAGAAGGGGAAGAAATCAGGTGCTCCGGAAGGATCAACATTAAATTTTCCTTCTCCACTAGTGATTTCTTACGTGGCCTTACATCGAATGCAGTGACAAACTTATTAGCAAGAGAAAAAAGACGAACAAATAATAGTTCGCAAAACACCAAACATAAAACAAGAAGATTCTACCCGTAGACAACCCAGGGGGTGCGTACCGAAAGTTCTTTAACAAACCAACATAATCAAAAGGAAATACTAATGTTTTGAATGTTTGTAAATAGTCATGAAACAAATAAAACTGAAATTGATGTAAAACTAGAAAAGTGACATGTCAGCCAACCCACCGGTACCCCAACCCCCAACCGCTTGCATATTTTTTTTTGAGGACAAAACACAAAAACAAAATACTGATGCATATAAAGAATAAATCATGGAATATACATTTTCGTAAATTTGGACACAATGACATAATTTAGCATATATGTAAATATAAAGTGTCATTAAAATTCGACCACTATATATGCAATTTTTCATGTATTTTTGCATTCATTTAGAATTTTTGACACAGGGTAAATTTGGAATAGAATGTTATTCCTTTTTCAATTGTCACTGAAATCATAGCACAAAAGTTAAGTGTTAAAAAAAAATGACAGCAAAAATAAAATGCGTATCTACATATAGTGCACAAAAACTGTGTAGTGTAATCAGCATCCAGCCTGTACAATTGGAGCTTGTGTGTATACAAACATTGTTGACGGACAGAAAAGACAATTTTGACTAAATATTCGTAAAAATGAATGCCAATTTTGTAAGCATCATATAAAAATAACAAATATAATATAAAGCTATTAACTTTAATCATCGAAACTAGTTACCGATTAAAAGCGCAACTGTTGAAACATAGCCTCCTGATTGGTTGAATTCAACCTTAACCTCATTAGAATTTGAGCGCAAGAAATTGGCGGGAATTCGGTATTCATATATTTCCCATCTGGTATCTTCGTGACCTCGTCCTGGTGCAAAAAGTTGATAATATGCTGTCACGTGGTGATTGTTGATCAGAACAGTTTTCGGGGTCGGATTTCCACCTGATTTACCTGGCAAACTTACTCCGATTCTAAGTCGTGCGTACTTAACATTCCCAAGTGAATGGACGTTTACAGTTGATGATACTGCATAGGTACACGATGCGCAGGAGAAAATACAAATGGTGCAATCTTTCTTTATTCTCATTACCATTTTCTTTCCATAATAAGTAGTTTCCTTAATAGTGTGAATATTGTGAAAATTATATTTGGAGTGAAAAACAAAAATACAACTACCGTCCGCCGGAACTGTAACATATCCGTTCGAAACATGCATGGATTTCCATTCTTTTAAAACTGGTTGTTTTTGGGTGTTAAGGTATTGACAATGCGAAATCCCCGAAGACGGCGTAAACCAGTGACGATCGAAATTAAGCTTAATTCTTGCTTGTGACCTGTCATAGTTATGCAGTAAAATGAGTATGTCACCATTGTTTGGATTACCCAAAGCTAAGGGCGAAATTTTTCTCTCTTTGTTGTCAAACGGACTATCAATTCGTAGAAATTGATTTTGGTAGGATAAATGATGCCAAAATTTGTAAGCCTTGGCAGCATTAGCAAAACTTCCATCACGATGGAAAAGGCTGTAATGTAACGATGCCTGACCTAGGGTGGTTGCATATGACAGCATGAATCCAATAGCTCTGTCAATCACGTTTCGAAAATTCAAATACGTGAACATGTGGCTGTTATGTTGATTGATATATGCCCAGTCTATGAAAGGATTTGGTTTATTTACGTTAATTCCCCGTACTTGGCTTAAACCATACTCGCTAATTATAAGAGGAACAGAACGGCCCTTCTTTTGATTTGCGTAACTTTCCACTAAATCAATGAACCCTGCTAATCTCGCTTCATTTATACCTTCAAATCGATAGTTGTTACCCTTCACTAAGAAAAAGTTGTATGGATGAAAGGAAAAGAAATCTAGATGGTCTAGAGACATATCAAGAAACTGTCGAGAAAACTCCCATATACGGAAATCGTTCTTGTCACTTCCGGAAATCGCACCGTTTTTTGTTGGCCCGCCAACTTTAATCCCTGGGAACTGACGCTTTAGCTTTTTTGCAACAATCTTATGGAAATCAATGACTGTGTTCCATTTAATATATTTCCAAGCTGCATCTGGTTCATTTATGACCTCGAAGTACTTCGGTATGATACCATGCGTGCATTGTTTAATAGACTTGAAAAGCAAAACTATAAATTCAGAGCCTGCATCTAAATTATTAGGAAACTTTCCACCGTGTTGCGAAGTGTTCATCCACTTTGGCCAGTAGAGCCCTGTAAATGTATTGATTATTTTTAATAATAATAGTACTAGTCTAAGATACATATAAGGAGGTAAGGCTTGTGTTGCATTTTGTAGACTGTTGTTTGTCTTTTTTTTGTTTTCGTTTTTCGTTTTTCAATTTGTCTTAAGTGAGGAGTTTGATATCTTCCGCCTTTCACGATGGAAGAGTACGTGTTATAACGCTTCCATATACATTCACAAGCTAAGGAAACCAACGAATTTAAGTTTAAAAACACACACGCACACAAAATGCAAACGTTTAAGCTCTCCACAGACCACCAATCCTGTCTTATGAGGACTTGACTAAGTATTGACCACTAAATGTCTTTCAGTTTTGTAGTCATTTGATTGCTTTTATTGACGCATAAATACCCAGTATCTCTTTTTATTCATATTTCATGAACTATGAAGAAGCAGAACTTGGTTTCTTTGTTGTTACCAAATTCCTCTAAAAACGATAATGAAACAGCTTAAACCGTCATGCACCGACCATTTATCTTTTGTTGGGGCATGCTTTTTAAAAAAAATGTAATTTTTTAATCAAAATTTCTTTGAAAAATATGTTTGATTGAAGAAAGAAGTGATAAAAAATAGTTTGTTTTTTATCTAAAATTAGTGGAAAACATTGAGTGTCAAAGAAAAAAAATCTTGTTCCTGTATTATTAGTAACTCAAATGTTTGCTTTTGGTTTAATTCACAACACTGAGCACTCATTTGCAAATCCGGCGCCGCACTTTCTAGACATACAGTTTCATCTAAATAACCAAAATGTGTAAAAACGACATGGGATTTACTAAGTACCAAGTTTTAAAGCTCTAGACTATAAAGTGTTTTTCGATTTGAGTTTAAGTAATTCTGCGTTATTCCATGGATTTTTTTCAGTCCCATTGAATGTTTGTAGTCCCATGATTATTTTATCCCATGGGACAAGAAAAATCCCATTGGACAAATAAAATCCCATGGGACAAAATAAAATCCCATGGGATTCAAATTATAAATATACAGTAACATGTATGTTAAAAAGAATTCTGTTTGGTAGTAAACTGTAATAAGATAATTATAAAATAGTTGATTAAGTACAATGTATCAGAAATGCAAGTCACTAAACTACAGTATAAAGGGTTGAAGGATTTTTTTGGAAGTCCATTTACTAAACTTAGCTATTACTTTTTTTTCTCTTCTGATTGTTAAAACATCGTATATTAATGTCTCCTTTAAAAATATTTCCTGTCAACGATTACATTATATCTATTTTCAATTTACAAACATGGCAAAATTATATGCTAAAAATTTCGAGTCAAATTCATGTCTTAAAAAATGAGCTTTGTAAAGGATTATTGATAGTTTTTGATAAACAACAAAGTAAAATGTCTTTTTGACAGATGCAATTCAATTTCAAAATTAAAAGTGATTTGTCAACAGACTTGTGAAAAGTCCGTTAAAACGAATCTGTTAATTTTGAATAGATTTTCAAAGTAACAAGGTTGTAATTTTCTAAAATTTGGGTGTTAGAGCCATTTCATACGCCATAGAGTGTTTCATCTTTAACAAGAATACATGTCTTGGGCCCGTATGCATAAAGCTACTTAAGTTAAGATTTTTCTTCATGTCCTACGATAAATTAGTATTACGATTGGATATCTTAACTTAAGTAGCTTTATGCATACGGGCCTTGCACCTTATACTACTTATAATATTATTAAAGACTTCATACTTGAAGTTTTGTATTTGTTTGATACCATACACTGTTATCATGAATATTAGGAAATTGCATAAAAATATGTAAAGATTAATTTTCATGAATTAATAAATGCTACTGTTTATTTTAAAAAAAATATGTTGTCTTTCCTGTGATGCTGCATTGTTTGTTGGTAATATGTAGTCTATTTATTCACCGATCCTTCTTTTGGGCTATTTAGAAAAGTTCATTACCATAATTGTGGTTTCCATTATTTTTCGTGTCTATTGGTATTTACGACTTCAATTTAAAACAAGAACTGATCTGACGTTTGTCTTTGAATTGATTCTGGTCTTGTTTCTGTGTTTTTATTTCCTTTCTTCTAAGTAATGCATTTCAAACTTTTTGAAAAAGAACCAATCAAATTTTAATTGATGGATAATAAAATCAATTTTTTCAATAAGATACCATGCTAACCTACTAATTATGATATATGAATGCTTGTACTTTTCATTCTATTAGTAGAAGCAACAAATTCAACATAATGATTTCTTCATTTGAAAACCGCATCGGTGGTTTCGTGGTGGTGTATTCGCCTTGAGTGCGGGAGTCGTGGGTACGAACCGCGGCCGGGTCAAACCAAAGACTTTAAAATTCGTATTTGCTGCTTCTCCGCCAAGCACGCGGCATTAGGGAGTAAGGGCAAAGACTGGTCGGCTCGGATTCAAAATAATGTGTCCGGGTAAGGTGATATAGTCTTCAGTCCTGCTGACTGTTACTTTGTGAACTAGCACATTAAAAATCCGGCTCAGCGTGTCGGTCTAGTACAAAACAGGGTTCATATTTATATTACATTAACATGATCTCGTCCTGAATATGCATATTAATTTACCGCTGGGCGTTAAGCAGCCTTCAATCATCATCTTCATTTTCACTTGAAAACTAGAATTTGTTTTGATGGTATAATGGATAAGAAAAACCCTTAAAGTATTCTCACAACTATTTTAGAGGGTGATAATTTGGCACATTATTATCACCGTATAGAAACCATGCATGTAACCTGTAATTCAATGGTTGTCTTTTGTCATATTTGTTTTTCCTTTATTGTTTTTATTGTTTGAAATGTTTTACAATTGTCATTTCAGGACCTTTTATAACTAATTATGCGGTATGGTATTTGCTCATTGTTGAAGGCAGTACGATGACCTATAGTTGCTAACCTTCTATGACATTTGGTCTCTGATGGAGAGTTTTATCATTGGCAATCATACCACATCTTCTTATTTTTATATCATATAACAATTAATTCACGCATTCTTCTTCATAACATTTGGGTATTTTTCCTAGTTGAATATATGCATCACATTTCATTTGTCACAAAAATTTATAATATATACAAAATGCAAACAATAGAAGCAGCAATACTTCAAGCTCCTGTGAAAGTTCAATATGTTTTTACTTCAATGAGAACAAATAACCTTGCTACAAAAATTGTATCTTTGTTTTCCCTTTTTTGTGTTGTTTAGTTGCTGTCTCATTTGTGCATATATACACATGTACCTTAAATCTTTGCTTGATTAGGAAAATTTCAAAACATGATTACTGGGGTACTCTATCAAAAAAATTCTTCAGTGTTCACAAGACACCAATATAAATCATGTATTAACAAGCAGTTACTAGGATATCAGGTTGCACTTCTGTAAATATAGACAATGCAATATCCCACAGGAACTCTTTTTACGACTGTGACACTTTAACTATGAAATTTCGTAAAAAAATATATCCTAGAATGGAAAGTACGTATGTACTTCTATCTATTTTTTTTTTTCAACAGTCAAAACACAGGGCATATTTTCAACATTAATATGCCTCGAACTTCTAAGAGTATAAAGTTATACTGAAATTCTGTACTACCCAACCCTTCACTTAAGGTCTTTCTCAGTATACAATTTGGCCGCAATCCATGTGTATTTATAATGGTAAAATTCCAAAGTTATGTCTCTATGACATGAAACATAGAGATTATTATCTTGGAACCAGTAGGTAAACAAAACAAAATATGTATGAATATTATGTATCTCACCAAAAGAGGCGTGCATGGTGAAACAGCTGTATTTACAAATTGCAACCTGCAAAGTATACACCACTATTATTGAACATTGACAAAAAATTCTATTCTCAGCGGGTATTATCATAATTCCAAGTACAGGACACCATGCTAGCTCACACTGACATGTTCGATGTTCAGTAAATCATGAAATCAGGGTCAAGATCTTAGTTTGACATTAAATATAAAAGTTCGCCACATAATGAACATGTGTACTTAGTTCAACTATATGGTATACTCATTTAAGGCCTTTTATAGCTGACTATTTGGCATGGGTTTTGCTCATTGTTGGAGGCTGTACGGTGACCTATAGTTGTTAACTTTTTTTTCATTTGGTCTCTGATGGAGATTTGTCTCATTGGCAGATATACCACATCGTTTGATTTCTTTATACTTAGGATGGCTCAAACTGCAATTTTGCCAGAATTTAGAAAATTATGAGTATTTATCCAAAAAGGTATATTGAGAAAGATTTTCATGACCAAAGTCAAAATTATGTTGGACTTAAAGTTATGAATTTCTGTTACGTATTGTGTCATACACCTTATCGCCATTTGACCGCCACTACTGGACATCACAGAAGTTCCCTTAGAATTTTGACGTCACAAGAGAAAATGTCTGACGACACAAAGATAAAGTGATTGTTGTATGACGTCAATAGTTCAAGTGTCGGAAATTATAGGGTCAAGTGGCGCAGATTTCCAAATAGCAATAAGGTCTATTATGATTAGTGATGTCCTAGAAACAAAGTATAAACATGACATTTTGACCTACAGTAGACTAAAGGTTTGAACTTTCGTGGCTAGTTGTCTCATTGGCAATCATACCTTATATCCTTATTTTTATATAAAGGGGTCGCCTAGTCCAATAGTTATGACGTCTTGAAAGGCTATTTTAATTTTTTGCTGTGACGCCTTCCTGCGAATTCCTGGGGAGGCATCACAGCCAAAGATTGAAATAGCCTTTCAAGACGTCATAGTCAAAGACTCATTTGGACTACGTAAGGGGTCACCCTACTGGAGTCCCAAGACAATTTATCTTTTGAAAACTTGTTGATTTGTCATGAATATGTGCTATTTCAAAAATAAAATATATATCTAAAAAAATAATTTTACACTAGAAAGGTGTCCCTCATTTAAGAGATTTTGATAATAAGTTAGTCATTTCGGGAACTATTCACAATTTTGGAGTTGTCCTCACCTCAC